CCTGTAGTCTAGGCCCTCAGTCCCTCCTCCCTCAGACCCAGGAGTCCAGACCCCCAGCGCCTCCTCCCTCAGACCCAAGAGTCCAGACCCCCAACCCATCCTCCCTCAGACCCAGGAGTCCAGATCCCCTAGTTCCCTCTTCCCTCAGACCAGGAGTCCAGACCCCCAGCCCCCTCCTCCCTCAGACCCTTAGTCTAGGCCCTCAGTCCCTCCTCCCTCAGACCCAGGAATCCAGACCCCCAGGCCCTCCTCCCTCAGTCCCGGGAGTCCAGACGCCCAGCCCCTCCTCCCTCAGACCCAGGAGTCCAGACCCCCAGCCCCCTCCTCCCTCAGACCCTGTAGTCTAGGCCCCCAGCCCCTCCTCCCTCAGACAGGTGTCTGGCTCCTGGCTCCCAACCTCTGTATCTTCTCCATTTCCCACCCTGTTGAATGCTCTCCTGCCTGGAGTCTTCCAAGGTGGTATTTTTCAGGAAGTGTAACCGTTGGGTATATGTCTGTGTGACCTTATGGGTAGAGCTGACCCCAGCTCCTGGCTTCCTCGAGCCCCGCCCCTGCCACACTCCTCTTTCTGACCCCAACACATACGCACCCAGAAAAGACAGAGGGCCATTGGGGTGACCTTTGTTAGAGCCGAGTCTGGGGGTGGAGACAACTCCCTGTGTCCCCCATCTCCCTCAGGCTCAGAGATGCTCGGGGTGAGGACAGAGCACGGGAGAGTCACTGACTGGGCCCTCCCAGCACCACAGTCTCCCCTGGGTCAGGGAGATGAGGCTCTGAATCTGACTCTTGCCTCTGGGTTCTCCCCAGGGCTTGTGCAGCTGGACAGGGTCCTGGGCGAATGGTGAGTGACCCCTGCTGAGTGTATCCTTACATGGAGGGGAGGGTACACTGAATCCCCCTGAGCTCTGGTAGGGGGGGTGGTCTCAGGGAGGGCAGGGTGATCCATGACGGGTGTTGATGGATGTGGTCCTTCCTGGACTCAGGGAAAGAGCTGGGGCTAGTGGAAGGGACAGTGCTGCTCCCCCTCACCCTGGGCTCTCCATCCCGAATCTCAGACCCCAAGCCCGTCAGAAACCTGAGCATAAAGGACCAGACCAACAACTCCATCACCCTGGGCTAGACGAAGCCGGATGGCACGGCCTCTCAGAACTACCTGTACGGGATCCGGTGGGAGGGTACCGACGCAGCTGGGAACAAAAACACGACCAACACCAGCGTCCTTGTGGACGGACTGCAGCCCGGGTCCTGGTACCAGTTTACCGTG